GCTCGATTCTGATTGGCTAACATCAGTATTCAGGATTCCTGTGTGAACAGCTTTGATCGCGGAAACTAGTCGGGATACCTTTGTGAATCACTGATGACGTCAAAAGAAACTAGTTCACTCACCTCGCGATAGTCCGCTGTCAGACAGCCACACAGATTCTGGGCTCAAGATTGCCTTTCTTTGGCAAAAAGTTTCGATGGGTCCCCTCCCACAAGACAAAAATAGCTAATATTCCAGTTTTTAAATGTGGGTTTCCTGTGGTAAGATTCTCAAAATGGCGGCTAGAACGATCGTATTGCAAGCTAAACGGTAAAATACTCTCTAATTCTTTGCCGTTTGTGTAATTTTATTTGAAATGTCACCTATTTTTATTATATTTTTTGCGAAAATATCTCACTAGTTTCCGGAAACTAGGTGAACCAGTCTAAATCCGCCCCTGCTCATTGGAGAGCTCTAAAAGTCACGAGTGATATATGTTAATGCGAGTAAAAACTTAACTGGAACAAAAGAAAACCCTAGTACCATATAAACATGATTATRAATATTACACACCATTGAACATTGGCTATTAATAGTTGTAATTGAAATGCCTCAACATTAGCGAAAAAATTTTATTATTATTATTATTGTTATTGTTATTTTCTAATGGTKAATGGTCCGTTGTCTTTTGAAGAATGTTGTCATCGGAGCAGATCTTGGAACCAAAGAAATACTGCGAATCACATCATCCAAGTCTGCGTTCACAAGTTATGCTTTGACAAATGTGAGTCTCTGTTCCAAGTTATGTAAGGGGATTTAGAGTAGACCTCGGGCTTCAAGGGAGACCTAAGCTCAAAATAGATAAAGAGAAGAATTACTAGCCTGTGTGCAGCGAACCAAACCAAAACTGTATTTTGATCGTCTGCGAATCAGTGACGAGSATCCTGTTCCGTGCACCAAGAAATATGTACTCTACTCTAACGAGTACGTTCATTGGCTACAGTAAACTCGCGCCAGGCCAGCGCATATGTCAAGGTACTTTGGACTGTGCAATCTTTTCTTGGAGTGATCCACTGTGTTTTATGGAGCGATACTGTATTCTCTGTCAAACAGAGTGTCAAACACTCAGTGGAAGGCTGTAAATGAAGTTTTAAAGTAGGAGGCGATCTCAACAGTCTCCATTTTAACCGTTGAAGGAGGCCGTAGAAGCAAGCTTGATATTGACTGCCGTTGTTCATTTCTTTTTCGTGTTAGACTGGCGCGAGTTTCTGTAGCCAATAAGCACGCTTGTTAAAATTTACAAATAAACAGCCAATGAAAGCGAAGTACATATATATCACAATGCAGTGAACACGATCTTCGTCGCTGGTTCGCAGACGAACAAACACAGTTTGGATTTGGCTGCACGAAGGCTAAGAATTACCAAAGGTTTACAGGTATATAAAATCGACATTCATAAGCGGCGTATCAGGTGGGGCAGGTTGATTCACGACACGACACCTCGACGCCCCTAAGCCGTTTTTTTCTACCTCGAAAAGAATACCTACAGTATGCATACAATGACAAATTCATTGACGCAACCATCATGGATGAATATATCCTACAAACATGAAATATTCTTATTATTAAATACTGGAGGTCTAATAGTAACCGAACTAGTTACTAACAGGTAGTTTCACAAATAGGACTTTTGCACGAAACGGTCACATGGTACTAAATCCGCCATACTGGATGGCAAAAGAATATAAACAACCTCAAATACAAAGGAGCTCAGGCCGTCAAGCTTGACTTGTCTTTGTGTTTAACATCCCAGTGGGTATTTTGCCAGCAAGCATGGCGGATTTAGTACCATGTGACCGTTTCATGCAAAAGGCCTATTGGTGCACAGGCAACCCAAGCAGAGCATACCAAAATTTGTTTTTAATAAAATCATCTTACCTTGATATCATGTGTTCTTGATGTTATTTAACATTGCTGTGTTTGGTTTTGAAGGGATTTAGACCTATTTTATAAAAAAATATCACCCTCAGTAGTAAAAGACTACAAGGCTGGTTACAGAGCGTCCACACCACTCGTCTTTAATAGCCGAAAAAAATATCTTAAATCCATCTTTTGCCTCCAAAATACCCTCAGCGGCATGTCTCTAGGATCCTTCTATCCAGAATTGGGCAACCTTTCAACGGTTTATAAATCCAACCGTGCCAAATCGTCATGTTTGTACGCTATTCGGACTCAATTTTTGCATCCGGTCAACCCTTCATCYACCGAGTTGGACACGGACTTTGACCGTCTTGCAAAACTCCCTCTGATTGGACGACAGTTTCCATGGAATCACTTCAAAAACTCCCGACTACTAAGGGGAGTGCAGAAAATTGTACAAMTGTCGACATCCCCCAAGGGCGCGTCGAACACGTGCACAGCTCAGGGAAAACTCGGACTGTTTTTATTTCGAACTTTTCAACCGGCGCCATTTTTGAAGTTCGCTGCATAGTTTATTTCTTATGTTTGTACAATTTTCTGCACTCCCCTTAKTAGTSGGGASTTTTTGAAGTGATTCCATGGAAACTGTCGTCCAATCAGAGGGAGTTTTGCAAGACGGTCAAAGTCCGTGTCCAACTCGGTCGATGAAGGGTTGACCGGATGCAAAAATTGAGTCCGAATAGCGTACAAACATGACGATTTGGCACGGTTAGATTTATAAACCGTTGAAAGGCTGCCCAATTCTGGATAGAAGGATCCTAGAGACATGCCGCTGAGGGTATTTTGGAGGCAAAAGATGGATTTAAGATATTTTTTTCGRCTATTAAAGACGAGTGGTGTGGACGCTCTGTAACCAGCCTTGTAGTCTTTTACTACTGAGAGTGATATTTTTTATAAAATAGGTCTAAATCCCTTCAAAACCACACACAGCAATGTTAAATAACATCAAGAACACATGATATCAAGGTAAGATGATTTTATTWAAAAAAAAWTTGGTATGCTCTGCTTGGGTTGCCTGTGATTGGTGCAACTCTGGATTAGGGCATGTCTGTCACTGGTCCAGACCAGTCGATCACACAAAGAGCAATACTCAGGAGACCAAAAAARGTTCATGACTGTTGCTTTAGTAAATGCGTATAGATCATTTACAGTCTGAAAGAAGATGATTAATTAAGAATTTCAGCACACTTGCTGTGTGAATAGACGATGGATCTTCCTGGATTCTTGCAATATATCTGCAACGCGCCGTGCGGATCAAACCGAGGACAGGGACATGTACTTTATTTAATGCTAAACATCAATTATTTCCTTGTAATTTTGTTGCCTAAACTAAGAAAGTCTGTTGTTGTTGTTGTATCGTTAATTATTTCTAAATATTTTGAATTGAGCTCTCTGTACGAAAACAAGAAACATGGCCCAGACTTGTGTCAATCKCAAAAGGCTCAAGTGAAGAAAACATTTTTGACGAGTTTTCTAGTCATACTGTCCAAAAAGCTCGTAAGCTGGTTGCGTCTTTTATGTTCATCTTGAATAAAAGAAAAATATTTCATATTATTCCGAAGAAAATCATTGCTAYCCCTGTGTGTACAATTCTCCATGAATATTAGGCGCCATTGAGTTAAAATCCTTAGCTTAGTCCTCCTTGAACGCATTCCTTGAATGTAAGATGTAACGCTTTTATCAGAATACGCAAATGAGTCGTTGCACTGATTTATTTCTTTATTGATTCAATAACGTCTGTGAGAATTTTTCGATTTTTTGTTACTCTGGCTTGTTTTGTGTTTTCGCGTTTTGGCTGCGCTAAAAGTCCTATCAAACCTCTAGGACAGCGTTACATCATACATTCAAGGAATGCGTTACATCCGCCTGAATATATTAAAACATTTTCTCGTGCGCTGTCGACCATGCAGCCGCGCCAAAACATAAATTCTTGAACGTGTCTTGATGCAAACTTTGTAATTTTTTTTGACCACGTTAAAATGTATCAAGTCAATCGAAACTTAGCAGCAATGTTGTCCATATAGTGATGAAACAACTCAGTTAAGAACAAAAATAAATTMGCCCTCCTTTTTGAATGAATTGGAAAAACGCTAAAACTACACTTTTTCAGAGTCGCTAAAGAAACTACTATGTACTGAAAATAATCACATCTTGAAGACTGGCAAGAGACATGACTTTATACTTGTACAGCATTGTACATTATAAGCCAAACAAGTCTTTTGCTGTGAGATTGAGCTTCAGGCATTGGAATTTTATCATGAATATGGGCCGATTGTGAGTGTCTTCGTCAAATCACAAAAACGCAACACRTATACATGTTTAATCGTTTTTCTCAAAATCGGCTAGAAGAATTTCCATGATTTTGCGATACATTATTAGCTATAACCTACAGTTAAACGCGGTACTTTTGATTTTTCTAGGTGCCATCGAAATTGGYCGGAAAACAGCTTTCTTTGAATTCTTTCTTTCTACCAAAAAACTGCTAGTTTTGCAGTAAATTAAAACAAAATACATGTTTTTTAAATTTTCCAACTAAGGACAACATTGCCTGTTTTTTTTAAGAAAATMGAGTTTGATTAAGTTGGTTAAACGGCCGTTTAAAAATGATAGGTGCGCGGGAGTGCCAACCACTATGAAACACCTTAAAATTCACAAGGTTGGTGAAAGATGACTGCCTCAATAACCGTCGCGTTATAATTAGTGCATCTGTAGCATTCTTGACAAAGTCTTCAAGTTTCTTCCAGTGTCTAATGTTTTCAGCCCTTCTTTTTCATTTTGTGAAAATTCAGTTCAAAAATCCAATCGTGATAATTACAGTTATTTAGTGAATTAAAAAAGTGCTTTTAACAAAAAAAGATGGATGAGTATAAAAAAATATGTAAATTTGTTTTAAAGAAAGCCTGGGGGCATGTTTTTATTAGCATTGCCTTATTTGGACAATGACTCTCACATTTTTTTCAATTTACTCTCACATTCACTACCTGTACATTAAGTATTTTCACACAACACTCCTCCACTCCTCACTTGTTGATTTTTGCTGAGGGAGGAAAACCGGAGGATCCGGAGSCAAACCTTCGTAGCAAGGGAGAGAACAACACATCAAACAAACTCAAACTCACATATGGTCCGTGACCAGGAATCGAACCCGGACCACAGTGGTGAGAGGCCAGCAGCCAATAAAATACTACAAATATTATTAAGAACAACATTGAATCTACTTAAACCGCTTACTTCTAAACAATGTTATATGAATGTTAATGAATGCAAATATGTTATCACAGGGGTAGGGGTCACAGTTCTTTTTGCACTGTAMACAGGATACTAAAATACATTATCTTGTGCTTGCAGTACGCTGGCTCTGTTTCAGCGTCAGGAGGCTATGGAGGAGGTAGTGCCTCAGTAACAGTAGACGTTGAGTCTGTTAGTGAAAAGATGAAAGCTGGCTCAAAATTTGGTTCTGAGGAGGAAAAGTTCAAAATAGGTGGAGGAAACATGCCAGAGCCAATTGCTATTCGATTGATATCAATCCAAAAGATGTTTGATGTCAAACTCTACAGTGCTTACAAAGACACAAGAAATTCAAGAATTCCCTGCCGTTTCTCCAGAAGACTGCTAAGCAAACGATCTAAAAATATCATAAAGGCTCTTGAAGTCTATCCGTCAACCCTTAACGTCAGGCTACCCACAGGTAAGTTGACCATGTACTATGAAACTATCGCTGCCTCTTAGTACTGTTTTGCATGATTGTATGTATTTATCTCGTTTAGGAGCAAAAATCATGATTATTCAGGATTCGATAGAGACAATTTATTGAGAAGGAAAACTACCCGCTAAAGCCTTCTAGATCAAAGTCGGTCTGAAAAGTGACCCCTCAACAGTGATGTTTGTTCAAAAACCAATAAGCACATTTGAATCTAAGATAAGGCATTGGCAAATGTTTGTGTGTGTTTTTTCCGAAGTGAAAAAAAGTTAAGGATGCAAGTTTGGCTTTGATTTGTACTCGCTATATCACCGATATTGTTGTAGTGATATCTACATTACCGATATTGTTGTAGTGATATCTACATTACCGATATTGTTGTAGTCACTGATATTTTTGTAGTGATACATGTATGTCACCGATATAATTGTTGTGGTGATATGTATTTTATAATATACATACTGAGATTTTCTCACATATATTTCTATTTGAAAATCCGTTTCAAAATATTAACTAGCCAATCATAGGAGCGAAACAAATTTCTCACACGTGCGAAAAGCGTTTCGCCCAATCAGGAAAGACTTGCGAAAACGTACCACGGAACTCAATCAACGACTTGAAGCTTCTTATGACTAGAGACAAAGCATTTTAGAAAGTGAATTGACAACTAATATTGTCAGGAGAAAAACACAAAAATTTAACAGCTAAAACGGCGAGTGATGAAAAGCTAACTCGATGAATTTCCGCCGAGAGAAAAAAAAGCAAAGAAATCCAATTCCAAGAGACCGAAAGCAAATAGCAGAACAAATACATCTCAGCGACTTCATTATGATTATGAAGCCTAAAGACACTGAAAGTTTCTGAACCAGCAGGTCCTTAAGATATATTTTCAAGTTTTAATCGACATCTAAAAGAATTAATGCAAATATCCCCAGTATATTTCCCAAGACCACAGCGAAAACTCACTCAGTTCCAGTACAACTTCGATGTTTGAAACTGAAACCCGCGCTTGTCAAGTCAACCACCGTCGCCAGCAGTAGAACTGTTCAAAGAAGCTGTATTTTATATGGCAAATTTCTCAGTATTAGATACAAGTCCTAGATGTACTTCATCTTCAAGAGAAGTATGCTATAAATCTTAGTATGTATATAATAAACAAACTTCATCATGAAAAGTGCTTTTGTACGGGATTTTCCGTACGTCAGCACTTTCCATGAAGAAATCTATATATAACCAATAGGTCTT